GGTGGGCGGCCGATCGGACGAGCCGACGAGAAGAGTCGATCAATTTGATCAGGCTGGTGGAGGTCGATCGTTCAAATCGATAGATGTGATCGATGGAGCTGGCTTAAGCATCCGATCAACGAGGATGATTTGTTTGAATCAAACGAACCAGTGACGGCCAATCAGACGAGCCAACGAGAAGAGCCGACCAAGTTGATCGGGTCGGTTGATGCAGATCGTTGGAATCGACAGATGTGGTTGATCGGAACCGCGTAAGTGGCTGATTAACGAAGAAGGGATTAGTCAGATCAATTAGACCGTTGAAGGTCGATCGGACAAGCCGACAAAATTGGTTGATCAAATTGCCTGTGGATGCTGATAGATCGAACCAACGACGATAGTAGATCGAGCCAGACATGACGTGCGGCTAGTCGACGACACATGCAAAAAAGACATTTTTGATGCAATTTTAAAATTCATGCAAGACACTCAATGCGAGTATGGACACATGCACATAATGGAGATCCCATCATGCTTGATGACGAAGACAAGCTCGACCTAACGATCTCATAGGTTACCCAGGGTGAGCAAGCGATGGAGAGGTGTACCAATGCCATATTGTACGATGCAACATGACGTCCACCTCCGTTTGCATGAAACAAGGTGTCGCGAGGATTCTTCACGATTGAAGGGGCGAAGACCAAGGGTTGTCTTCATTTTCTCAGTTAATAGGTTTCAAAAGTCCATCCGAATGAAACCACCAATACAAACGGCAGAATTAGTACAACCCCGTCCATTTTTTGTCTAAAAAGAAAAAATGGGTAGGTTTTTCTCGAGGATTCTCTAGAAAATCGCAAAGGCTAATAATGCTAGGGGGTTTCCTTTAGGCACGAACAAACCTAACCTAGCTCCGCTAATATCCAGACCTTGGGGCCCTAAGAATGGAAATTGCGAAATTTTAAGGAGTCCCACCGCCGTGGTGGTTGATCGAAGTCAGACGCTCGTTCCGGAAGAAGCGCTCCTCGTTGTAGGAGAGATGGCGAAGTTCTAGTGAGGTCCGCTCCACTCCTCCAAAGATTGGAAAAGCTCTCCTCCAGAAGGAGAGTCCGACGAGATTCTGGCTAAATTCCGAGCTCCGACAAAGTTTTGGCGATGCTCCTCTTCACAAGCTAGGATGAAGCTCTCCTAAACTTGACTTTCGAAAAGTTGGCCGGAGAGGAAGAGAAATGAAGGAGTTGGAAGAGGGCCAACTTCTTTAGCTTTTCTTTGAGGAGGATGAAGGATCCCTCTCC